CGCCGTCCGGGCGGCAGGGCTGGGGGGAAGGGGCGCGGGGACACCGAAGCCTGGAGGTGGCGCCACCATTCCCGGGGTGAGCCCGCCGGTTACCGCCTCCCCCACTCCTCCCAGCCCCATTTCTTACTTCAATAAATTCAAGTCTTTTGCAGAGCGTAGGCAACTCCCCACACTGCTCTGTATTGAAATAAAGATACCCGGTTCCTAAAAGTTACAGGTTCACCCCCGCAACGAATAAACTCAGGCTGACGTTATGCTCGGGAGTAGTGGTGGTGGACCTTGAGCACACATCAGAACCACGGGGAGGACTTGTGATAACACAGACCACTGGCCTCACCCCAGAGTGTGAGTCAGTAGATCTGGTTTGGGGGCAGAGAACCTCACTTCTAACAAGTTCCCAGGGGATGTTTATGTGCTGGTTCCGGGAATGCACTTGGAGAACCCTAAGTATGTTTCTCTGATGTTAATATTTTGTGTTGGTCTAACAATTTATAGGAAGTCATTGAAGCTAATATTGGTCTAAATGGCAGACCAGGGTCTGCAGAAGGGCAGAGGGGGCCTCTGGGTTCTCCCTGCTACCAGGAGCTCTTGCCTTCCTTTGCCAGGACAGTAGAATCCCACATTTTCCTAGCACCAGGGGGTGCTAGGCCCATGAATCACCATCGACCAGGGCTGCCTGAGCCCTCTCCACTGAGGCCCCCACCAAAATCCTGAATCCCCCTCCTGGCATATATGTGGGAGTGTGGAGGAGTGTGGCTGGCAGCACTGGCCAGAGGTGACTGCAGGTACCCCTGGCCCACATGTCCACCCTGAGCACAGGGATGAAGGAGGAAGACTCTTGAGGAAATGCACCCCCTGCACCAAAATCCAGCCTGTCCACAGGGAGCATGGCCCTTGCCCCATCTTCAGATGCCCTCAGTATCAGATGTGGCCAGCCCGGGGGCCATCTAGGGGTTCCTTCCCTGGGGCTCGGCCTGGTCTCAGCCGCTGTATGTGAGGCAGTTGGAGGTTCGGGTAGGTTAGACACTCTGCCTGCCCCAGCCACCCCAGGAAAGATAGGAAAGCCTGGACGGTCCACACAGTGTTCCCAGGAGATAAAGCAAGGACAGAGCTTGGATTGTGCCACCCACTCTGGCCACTTCATTCCAGCATTGGCAGAGATGTGAAACAGCTTCCCATATTGTTTCTCTGTAGGCTTTGGGGCCTTCCATGGGTCGCTTTACCTCTCTGGGCTTCAACCCAGTGAATCTTGCAACTTTCAGAGAGTCGGGGGGACTGGGGTAACATGGAACTCCACCATCCCTGAACCCCCAACTCGGGACAGCCAAGGCCTCTCAGACCACTTGGAAAGGGAGAGGCATCACTCAACATTCCTGAGCTGCCATTGGGCCACTGCCAGGGTTTGTGGGGATGTGGGTAGAACTGGCCAGCTGGAGTATTTTTTTTGGAGGGGGGGGGAAGCTTGAGGTTTGAGGGGAGCCCCTCAGTCCCTACTGGACTTCTCCCTGTTGTGAACTGCCACACAGGCCTCTTGTTAGACACATTGAAATCTCCACCCGCTATGGAGCCACCAGCTACTGTCTGGAGCCAAGTGATGTTTGTGGAATGCCAGCGGGGCTCGGGCAAGCTGTAAAGGCACAGCAGTGGCCTGTAGGGCAAATTTAAGAAAAAGCTTTAGGCCTACCAGAAGGAGCAGTCACAAAGCCCAAGCATCTACTCTGCAGCAGACACACAAAGAGGATTCAAGTCAGAGCTTTACAATTTCGCTCCTGAGTTAAATCTCACCACACCGTGAGCTTGGTTATTAGGCCTTGGACACAATTCTTCTGAGAAGGGAGGGGTCTGGCAAGGTGGGGGGCACATAATTATGCAACAGCTGTATGGAGCCATTTAGAGCAAGGACCACAGACAGCCCTACTTGCCATGAAAGAGCCTTCTTTACGGTGGAGGGCAGATCTCCTTAGAATGCCCCTTAGTAAAAAGGGGCAGCACACATATGGCCAATAAATATATGAAAAGATGCTGGGCATCACTAATCATCAGAGACGCAAACCAAAATCATGGTGAGATTGCATCTCACACCTGTTAGAATGGCTACTATAAAATAACAGAGAATAAGTGTTGGCAAAGATGTGGAGAAATTGGAACCATGTGCACTGTGGTGGGAATGTAAGTGGTGCACCCAGTATGGAAAACGGTCTGGAGGTTCCTTAAAAAAAATAGTATTACCATGTGATCCAGAAATTCCATTTGTCGATTTATACCCAGAAGAATTGAAAGCAGGGTCTCAAAGAGATATTTGTGCACACATGTTCATAGCAGCATTATTCACAATAGCCAAGAGATGGAAGCAACTCAAATGTCTATCTACAGATGAATGAATAAACAAAATGTGCTACACACACACACACACACACACACACACACACACACACACACACACACAGTGGAATATTATTCAGCCTTAAAAAGGATGAAGATTCTATCACAGGCTCTAACGTGGATGAACCTTGAGGACACTATACTAAGTGAAATAAGCCAGTCACGAAAAGACAAATACTGTGTGATTCCACTTATACAGGGTATCTAGAGTGGCCAAATTCATATAGAGAGGAAGTAGAATGGTAGCTGCCAGGGGCTAGGGGAAGGAGGATATAGGGAGTCATTTAATTGGTAGCAAGCTTCAGTTTTGTAAGATAAAAATGTTCTGGAGGTCTGTTTCAGAATAATGTGAATGTATTTAATACTACTGAAGTGTATACTTAAAAACGGTTAAGATGGTAAATTTTATGTTATTATTTTTTTTCGTGGCTGGCCGGAATGGGGATCCGAACCCTTGACCTTGGTGTTATAACACCGTGCTCTAAGCACCTGTTGTTTCTTTACCATAATTTTTTAAATGAAAAGGGGGGGGGGATGCTGCAAAGGCCATTTAACCCAATCTTCCCAATTCATTGATGAGAAAACTGAGGCCCAGAGAGGAGTGACTTGGCCCCAAGTCCACATCCCTGGCAGGATTCAGATTGGGACAGGCTCAGCAGATTGTTAAGGTGTGACACAGTCAGAGCAAAGCACATGGCCAGTGTGCAGCTGGGCTCGGGCTTGACACCCCTACCCTCAGAGGCCAGAGGCAGTGCTAGCTCTTAAGAGGTGGCCAACGAGGGTTAAAATGATTCACATGTGCCAAAGGCACTTTACAGAGGCCCAAATGGGTTATCTAGAAAATTCACCTAAGAGGAATGACTCCTCTATCGCTGATGTCAGCTAACCCTCTCCAGACAACTCCAAGAGCCGAAGCCCTGAGCTCCTCCAGAGACTGCCACCCCCACACCCTCCCAGCCCCAGGCCTGCAGAGCAGTGCTGGCAGCAGCTGTAACAGTGAAGAATGTTGAAACCCAGATTCAAATTCCAACTCTGCCACTGTCAGAGGCTCAGTTTCTATCTCATAAAACAGGGAAGGGCCTAATTCAGGGCCAGGCACGCTGCAGGTGTTCAGTAAAAGGCATCTAGGATGCTGGTTAAATACTGTGGGCTCTAGTGCAGGGCTCATCACTCCTGTCCTGGGGCCACAGGTGCCTCAGTCTATTCATCTGCAAAGTGGGGATGATAGTACTTCATAAGGTTGCTGTGAGGATCAAATGAATTAGTTCAGTGACAGGGCTTAGCACCATGCCTGAAACACAGTCATTGCTCAGACATTAGCTATTATTGGGAGATGCTGAGGGCAGTGTGTGTGTCCCCTGGGTATCTCAGTTATTTGTCAGTTCATGAAAGTGCCACCAAATTAACAGGAAATGCTAAAGCAGGGGC